CCTTTTTTTTTGTTTTCCAGGCATCTTTCCTTATAATGAATGTTGTTATGAAAAAATAAAGGAAAAGAATCTTCTCAAAACCAGGTATAAAGTTGTCTCTCGGCTTAGACAGCTACGTTGCCCTCCAACAGCTATCTTTTAAGGTGTCCACATGAAGTGCAATGTCTGATGTCTCACTGGAAGCCTGGGTAAAATGAAGGAGTTGAACCTCTGTTCCCTGGCTGAAGATCAGCACCCAAATCACAGGAACATCTACCTTTATTCTGAGTTTTTTAATGAACTCTTGACTTGTGCTGTGAAGTGCAGATATTAAATAAACGCGCACAGTTTTGATTTGCATAGCTTAAATTGACTTTGATAGAATTTGATTGAACCATTATTTCTTTAACTAAAGCTCCTGGCTGGTTTTAAAATGTGATATTTATTCCCCCACACACCCCCCCCCATATGTCGTTTTTGCTGATTAATCCTCTGATTGCAGTTTGCTAAGACTTGGTGCATAAGCATTTCAAATGTAATTTTACTAAGAATCTCAAAGTATGCAATTTTTCTCTACTACTGCAATAAAAGACAAGATATATGGAAGTTTTTTCTTTTTTTATTTTTAAAGCTAAATTAAGCCCCAGAAAAGAGATTTATTTGTATCTGTTGCTTCCCCTAAAAGATTCAAGGGAAATATGATGTTAATTCCAAAGCAGTTAAAGAAAAGCTAGCCCATCCCACTGAGCTGCTCATACTATTATTGGGCCAAATCAGGGTGTCTTGCCTGAGAACAATATATGTATAAACTAACAGCTTAAGAATTTGGCCTATCATATGTCTTCCCAGGCCATGCTGTGATTCATTATAATTTTATATCCCTGTCCATTTTGATGCCAATGGGAGGCTACAGATTTTTGCCCTCTTAAATAATGTTGTTACTGTGTGAGCTACAAATATTGTTTTGTTTCAAATGTGTGCTGAAAGGAGAAAATAACGTTTGTAAACCTCCCCTGTCCAGAGGTCCCTCATGGTCCTCTTTAGGTGGAAGGAATGAGTAGGAAAAATAGAGAGAAGAAAAGCAAATGGGCTAATACCTTGACTGAGTGTTAGGATCTGCTGTTCAAACCCTGCACAAGTTCGGGAGGTGGCTGAACTTGCCTCTCTAGAGAAGGTCAGGTATGAAAGAAATTACTGATCAGTATCTGTATGTTATCTGTTATTTCACAGAACAGGGAGTGGGAAGGAAAAGCATTAAGAAAGTAACTGAACCAGATTTTCTGTATTTATATGTACTTTTCTGTCACCATAAACCTTTGATTAAAAAGCTTGTTTATCTCTGTATGTCTGTGTTGAAGAGATTCTTTTGTGTTTTTCTTTCACCATTAGCTTGTTTTTGATTTGGTGGAGTTTCTTATGAAGCGGGTTTCCAGTCCTCTGCTAACTTTTGCAAATAGCCTATCATCTTTCTCCATTTTGTCAAGATCTTTCTGCATCTGAAAACCTCAGAACATAAAATTTGAGTAGTTTCTCACAAGCAGCTGATGCAGTGCAGCCGTTGTTGTTGTCTTAAGGATCTTTTTGAAATACCCAAGGACTGCATTAATCTTCCCAACTGTAGTTTCATCAGAAGGTCCACAGTTAGCAGGAAGCCTACCATGACATCAAGACTTCCTTGATTCCACCATCTTCACAGGGTAGTGTCCCGAGAAAGACAGTTTGTCTTTCATATTTACAGAGTTGGTATTGAGGCAGAGATGGTTTGTTTGCAGGGAGGCAATCTGTGGTGGTCTGGTTGCTGAGGTATTCTCTGTGTTACTTGCCCCTCCATCAGCCTTCCTGGTCCGTAGGCTTGCTCTGTAACAATTTTCGTTTTTTCTACAGATCAGCAGTTACTTTTCTCCCCCTTTTTTCGCTTACTTTTTCAGCCTGCAGAGTTTTGCAGTAATTATTTTCTTCCTGCTCAGTGTTCAATAATGTCATGCTTAAGAAATAAACGCTGCTGGAATACATTAGAAACATATCTTCCCAATGACAATTTCCTGTTTATAACTGCATCTGGAGACTAATCTAACTAACTTAACTAATACTTTCTTTGTATTTCTTCACTTCCTAAATATAATGGCATGCAAAACTCAGTCAAATGCTTGGTCTATTTTGACAAGCTGCATTTTCTGTAAAATGCTGATCATCATTAACTTAATCTCACTTGAATTCTGTAGTTCTTGAACTTGATCTATGCCTTTTGCAAGTGGAGACATGGTAGGGTCGTTTTGTTTACCCTTTTTTAGTATTGGCAAAGAATTATCTTCTGGAACTTCCTCGGTGTTGTAAGACTTCTTGACTACTTGGAACAGACTTTGGCCAGCTGTTCTAAAACTCGTGCACGTTATTCAGATCTACTTATTTTTAAAAGTCTTCATGTTGTAGCTGTTGTTCAGGACCCCGATGAGATGATTACAGTTGGAAAACCAAGCATTCCATCATCGTTCTCAACATACAATATGGCTTTAACTCAGTAAAAACAAAGATTATTTATGCCTCCTTCTGTGCGTTACTGCACAGAAATAATTGTGCGCATCTTGTTTATAAAGGGACATTTGACATTTCCAAAAAGCCAGGCTTCGCTCAAGTTCAAGGCTATTCTAAACTGAGATATGCCTCAGGATTATCTATTGCATAGGTATGTTTTTGTGCACTGTAAAGTGCGTTGGAAATTGAGATGCCCAAACTGTGCAGGTGATCCATGTTTTTTGTGGCCCTGTTGCACTATGGAAAGGGAACACGTATGTTCTCAAAGTTTCATCCAACAAAAGATTATATCAAAATAGAAATCAGGAAAGCTGGCAGAGCGGGGGTGTTTAGTAAATGCATGAAAATTGTTTGAAAGATAGCTAAGTTTATTAATCTTGGAAAAAAGACTGTGCTAATAAAACATTCATTGGTGTATGATGTTCCTATTTTTTAAAGCAGAGACGTAAGAATCAGGTTAAAATGGTAGTATAAAATTTAAGTCCAGTTTGCGAGGGGGGGTGTTTAATTAATGATTTCTATTAAAGAATTATTTTTCTGTAGCAAATCTGATTTTCTTTTTTATAAAAAGATGCATATCAAATTACTCACCTTAATTAAAATCAAGGGATGAGGATCGTCATTAAACTGTATTAAAAGTGTACTCTAAATATGTGAGAAATGGGCTTGAAAAAGAATGTGTATTTTGCAAGAGCTATATAGATGATATTGAAGAGAGGCAGAACTGGAAGTTATGTCTTGACTTTTGACTCGTTAGTGTTCACTAGTAAGTAGTCATGTACAAACTTCCATAAAATATTTGGCCAATGACTGTAGCAATCCCAGCTGTTGAAATACAAAAGGGATATTTAGATTTATGAGTTGGTTTTGTGTGATATGGAGTGGTTTTGAGTGGGTTTTTTGTGGTTGGTTGTTTTTTGGGGTTTTGAGTGTGGTTTTTTTAAACTTACGGAGTGTGATACTTACCAGCTAATGTGATGCATTAGTCAGTAATTAACTCTCTGGATGGGTCATGTTACTATATGAAGTTGATAGGATTAATTATAAATTGATGTTTATTTACTAAAATTCTTAATACATGTGCTTTCAAAATGAGGAATAACATTGGGAAGAAGGGAAAAACAGGTAATCGTGTGCTTTAGGGTGGTTCTTAAAACTGGTTAGTCATTTGCCGTCAGTGGAGCTGCCTACAAGTAGGCAAAATGAGAAAATAGAGGACAGTCTCTACTGGAGATAGTCATACTGTGTGAAGCAGTTGAGTTCATGGAAAGATTTTGCAAGTACTAGTTGGCATAGGAATAGGGGCAGAGCTAAAACCCAAAACCCCAACTATCCCTTATGTAAATACGTAAATAAAGAATTAAAATCAGGGCTTTAGGCATTTGCAGGGGAGGTATCAGTTGGCTACAACCAAGTACTTCACAGTCACAGGGTAGTTCATGCTTTTGTCTTCTAGGTCTAAGCCTCCTTAAGATGGGTTAGCACCCTGGTCGACATCCTAGTCTCTTTTTTAGACCATCTTCACTGACTTTTTTATATAGTTTATTTGTACCAACGGTGATTTATGCGCTCAATTATACTTGAGTGGGAGCAAGCTTCAGGATGATGTGTTCAAACATATAGCTGTGAAACCATATACTCCAACTCTTCTGGCCTTCAGTGAGTCACCGTCCTTCTTTGTGGGTTTGAAAATACCATTCCAGGCTGTCAAAGGCTTGCGAGGAAAAGGGCTGGTAACAGAGCAAAATATAGAGCAGTTCTGTGTCTTTGCTAAGGAAGTTACTCGAATTCATGACACTTCTTAACTGCCATGTAGTGGCAATTTAGATACTTGCTTATTTTATATGTAGCATTTGTGAGAGAAAGTCATGTCCTATTCAGCAGCTAAGAAAAGATACAAAAGGATGGGAGGTGTATTGGATGGGGGCACATGACCTGACCCAGCCGTATAAAATGTTGTCTAGCCATCATTTAGTGAACTGTTAGCAAATAAAACCTGAGAATATCATAGGAGAGATCAAGTATTTCTTAGGATTTGACACCTGTAGTGCTTTCACACTGAACCTGTTTAAAAGAACTGATTTCCCTGGAAGAACATACAGGAAGTACCCGCAGTGTGTGTGTAGAAATAGTGGGATGTGGAAGGTATTCGTATTTCTACCATTCTCCTAGAAATCTCATGCAAAAGTTTAAATTAAGTGCCTAAAGAGCAGATAAATGTTTCAGGAGAACCAGGTAAGTAATTTAAAAATACTTTTTCCCAAATTATGGGAATATTCTATAGTGTGCAATTGGAAATGCTGTTACATGCCCAACTGTGACGTTGGGAATGGTTGGCGTTGTTTATAAGAGCTTTTTGAAGAAGGAAAGAAACAATTTCAGTTGGAAGGAGTTGAGAGGAAATGAGAAGTAATTAAAAAAAAAGGAAAAAAAAACCCCACAACAAACTTGCTATTGATGCCATTGCTGTTGTATTTTTTATCTTATAGTTTGCAAGACATATCAAGAAATCTGAAGGCCAGAAGACCCCCAAAGTTGAATTACAAATCTCAATCTATGGTGTAAAAATTCTAGATCCAAAAACAAAGGTAAGAGGCTTATATATTTGTGGTGCTAAATTAGTAATTAAATATTGTTTTAACTGTTTTTTAATGTTTTATTGGTTTATATTTTGAAAAAGTATTAACAATGAAAGCCATTCTGTTGATGGAAAATTCTTCTAAAATGCCTTTTCTTGTTACAACACATGGGTAACATCTTCCCGGGAAGGTACATGATACTCCAAAATACAGATTGTAGCTAATGTGGGATTTAATTTTTTTAATCCTTCTACACTAGAATTTTTAAAGTCTGAGGAAGATGAAAACACTGTGGTAAATAAATGTTAATACCACATATGATAAACACCTTTTCAAATGGTCACCGTTGTGTAGGTACCCGCATGTAAGTATTTGCAGGTGAATGAAGAGACAATTTGTTTGCTGTGACACTTCATTCATGCTGCTGCTTTTTCATGCATGTTTCTTTCCTTAACCTGTTCTTGTGTTTTTAATGTTTATTGTTGTATCCCCCTCCCTAGAATGCTTATGTTTCTCAGGTGTGTTACCCATTCCTCTGTAAATGTCCTGTAGCAGGCCATAAATGTTACCCCAAGCTTTGCATCTGGCACAGCTTGACAATTCCTGTTTTTCAGCAGTTACGGCCATTCAGTCATCCCGTGGCAGGGTTTTCTGTTCCTTTGTTTGCTCTGGTATTTTGGAAGGGGTTACACAGTAGGCAAAACATCCTCCTCACAGACTTCAAAGAGGAATAATGAGATAAATATAATCAAGCTAAAAAGTATTTATTCAGTGGTCAGCGATTATTAACATCTGAGTGCTCTTAAATAATTTATACCTACATTTAATGATGGATTTGAATGAAATGTTTGTTACTGCTTCTTAATTCTGGAGTAATTGTTGCTATTCAGACAGTGATACTGCCCTTTGAGAAAAGGTGGCTTTAGTTTAAGGCTATATCTACTCATCTACTCACAACCCATTTTCGCTTCAAACTCAATTCAACCATGATTCAAGAGTTCATGAGCAGACGGGGCAAGAAATATCCATATCAACTTTAATTGCCATTTTTGCATCTTCCTTATGTCATCGGGCAGAAAGGTGTACTAACCCCATATCCTGCCAAAAACTGTTTTAAAAAAACAGTTTTAAATGCCAAAATATGTTCATCTTCCTAACTCTTCCTGCCGAGATTAACAGAAAGCTGTGGGACGGAAGTTCCCGGGGGAATAAGAACATTCTAATCTCTTTAGCAATGTTGTTATTGCAGCTCAAATGGTAATCAGCTATGAGTAGTCTTTTTATCTCCCTCACTTTGTTCTTTAAAGCGACATGTAAATGTAAATTTGGATCAAGTTTTTCTTCTTTTTGCAAAATTTATAGATGCTTTAGGAAATTACTTAAATGCCATGTTAGCATCGCTGATTACAGTATGTTTTCTGTGTGTTTTTGAAGTAAATCACTTCAATATTGGTTTATATTCATGTGATGACTATTAATTGTGGTAGGAACAGGAGACCTGCTCATGTATCAGGACTTGATTCTATACTTGGCACTCAAAAAAGGAGGATTATAGAAAAGTGGTTCTGTCCTTAAATGATATAAAGTAGTTACATGGATCTATACGCCTAAAAGAGCTGTGATGTTATATGTAACTGTTAAAGAGCTACAACAGGAAGAGATTAAATATGAGAGAGATTTGAGGACATGAGAGAAATAGGATACATAGGAGAACAGCTGTAAAGATTGAGAAAAGTAACCCAGCTGGGGCAAGGGGAAAAGATTGCCCATGTGGTCCCGTTTTTTGATAAATGGTGGTGTGCAGAGCGGGCATGCCCTTGTTTATGAGCTTATAGCAATCTGGGAACCCCAGTGCTGCACAGAAACTTTCTTTTTTTTAGTAGATAATAGTTCACATCTAAAGTGCATATTTTCCTTTAAATCAAATACCGCTTTCCCATGTAATAAGCCAAATAAAATAAAATACCAAGAAGAGACTTGTTGAAGAAAAACAACAAAAAAAATAGCGGAGAGAGTTTATTTCAGTCTCGTCAAGTGCTCTCAGATGAAGAGCATCGCTACTCAACTTCTTAAATAGCTGGAACATGCTTTTTAATGGAAAGTATCAAAAATATGCAAACGTTTAAAAGCTGTTTGGATTGTACCTTAAGTAAGCAATTATTTAGATGTCTAATTTATTTCTTTCTGCCCCTGTATTTGGATAACAAAGTCATTTTATTTCTATTTGCTTCATTTGAGATAGAAAGGTAAGGACTTAATTCAGTAAAAACATTTTAACAAACCTTGGGAGATGATGAAACCTGAAAATGTTGTGCACCTGGAAAAAGAACAGAGTATTTTACATAATCAGTCCCTAAATAAATAGCAGAGAGATGTAAAGCAACAGTGAAACCATTTCTTGAGAACAGAGATTACTGTCCAAATAAACACTTCCAGATAAATGCTGTCCAAATGAAAACTTCCTGCTTACATTCAGTAAAAATGGGAACATGTGTTAGGAGATGAGTTTGCTAACTTCTCTTATACTTTAAGCCCATTTTTGCACACTCTTATGTACAATGAGGGGCATTCAGAAATGTTACTGCAACTTGCCCGCTCTTTTGTACGTGAGGAAATCCAGAGATTTACTTTGTGCATCTGTATCCTAGGCAAGTATAGTAATTTCTTGAAAATAATCTTTCTTTTTATTTGCAGGAAGTCCAGCACAACTGTCAACTCCACAGGATATCATTTTGTGCTGATGATAAAACTGACAAGAGAATATTTACTTTCATATGCAAGGACTCAGAATCAAATAAGCATCTGTGCTATGTATTTGACAGTGAAAAGTGTGTAAGTATGCAAGACGTTTTAAAAGAATTTGGGTGACTTACGGACTTTGATTGCTCTGCTTTGAAATAGAACAGGAATGGTTAATAAAGGCAGATAGCCTGCCTTTTAATTGGGGTCACTGTGACATAATCTTTCGTGCCAATAATAGTGTCTTGTAACTTAGATGCGTTAATTTAAAGGAGAGCCTTTTTCTTCATTGATCTAAGAAGTTTTCTGGGACAATTCTTCTTACTACCCAGCTCGATATCCTAGGCCAGGCATCTGCAAAACTCTCAGAACGGACCGCACTGAAATGTTTGCACAGATGTTCTGCAGATACTGCTGCAACCCTGTGGCTGAGACACCATCAGAGGCGCTTCTGCTGATGGGTCTGCCTCAGGCTCAGTTATTTGTTTACTTATTTATTCATTTATTTCAGCGAGGTTCCCCCTTCTCAACTCCCCTCCATTTCTCAAATTTGTTAATGTCATGACGCACTACCAGAGGATTCATTGCACCAACCACTGACATTCCCTCATGTCTGAGATAGAACAGGGTAACCATTCAAAAATGTGCAATAGCAGAAACAGAAAATAATACTTTAGGACAGGAAATGAAATAAATGGTGTCTAGCTGCAACAGGGTCCTGTGTTTACCCTGGCAGAAAGTAATTAACAACTAAAACCACTGGAATCAACACTGAAATAGATGTTTAATGTTTTTCATAATCTAGAGCCTCTCTTTTTGATTTATTCTGAAGTAGCTGAGGTATCATACAAAGGAAATAATAAAGAAACAGGTTTTGGGTTGGTTGTTTTTTTGTTTTTTTTTTTAGAAAAAGATGCACATTCACTTCTACTTACATGCACTTATATAGTACTGTATGTTACTTCAGTGATCCTGATGATTTTGTTGTTCACCTGCATTGCTGCAGTGCCTTCAGTAGGCATTGCTCAGAAATCCTATACGCATCTGTTCATTTCTCTTCAAATTTCTATCCTGTGTCTCTCACACATTCCCGGGATTTCAAATTTCCCTCGCAGTCTTTGCGCACGAGTAGCATTTCTAGTCCAAAACAATGCACCGTTTCTTCTTCTCTCTACCCCGACATTCCACTTACTGTACTACTCTCCTCAGGTTCACTCTTTGTTTATTAGTACTCTCAGATTGCAAAGGATCCCAGCTTCGTTGGTACCTTTCCTTTCAGCCAGCCCTCATCCTTCCAAGAAGATAGGGCTGCTTCCTCCCGGTGTCTAGTACACTTTTCTTTTACTAACATAAACTGTTACTCTCTGAAGCAGCTAAACAGTCCCAGTTCAGCTTTTTTGGTCTAATTCAGGCTAAACTGGTTAAAATAATTTCTTCTGGTGGTCGTCTTTATAGAGGTAGCTGTTTGGGGTTTTTTTTTCCCCACAGTAAAAAGATAAGAGGGGTTAATTCACACACCTCTACTCAATGACTTTACTACTGCATGAATAAAAGGCTGGGAGAAACATTCTGTACCATTTTTGTGCATCCAGCCCTTCATGTTCTTAGAGGTAGTGATGGAAAAATGTTCTTGGCATTGAGCTGAATGCTCTGCTTTCACCAGAAACAATCAATTTCAGGTTTTCATTTCCATAAAGAAGAAAATTCTAGTTTTGTTTTAGTCAGATTTTTTTTTTCTGATAAACGGTGTTTAGTTTCTCTGCTGAAGTTCTCAGGCATATCCATATGTTCACCTTTTATTGGTGCCTCTTGTAAGTCAGCATTTTTTTCTGAAACCTTGGTGTGCTCGATCAACTTCTTATATGCTTGTTTGTATCTCTGTTATTTTTAAAGTAGATTTCCTGCACAGATTGTATATACACATTGTAACTTACGATGCAAATCAGCATAGAACTACTAAATTACTATATTTTGCACATACTAATGTAAATTCTCTTTGGTCGGATTTTGTTTTGAAATACTTATAATATAAAATTGAAATAAATATATTTGTCTATACTATGCTGATTGAGATTTTATAGGACTTCTAAAAATAAGTGTTGAAGTCCAAATTTAAAAGTAATAGGGGTCAAAACATCCATTGACATGAAAATATTAATCCATTAAAACTAAAACCATTTGTTTAATGATTGAAAAGCCTGTATTTTCTTCAGAAATCATCAGAAAAAACTCATGCTGCAGGATGCTATCTGTATTTACAGAAATTAGAAGCATAGTTTATACTAAAAATTAGCTAATTCTGTTCTGCCTGTTCAGTCTCCCTTCTTTATCTGAAGTATTTTTAGGTTGCTTTCTGTCAAGGTATTTTGCTGAAGAGTGTTTGGCATGCTCGTTTGTGGTGTTGACTTCACGAGGGATGAAGCAAACCCTTTGAACATGACACATGGTGTAAAGTATTTTGTCATCATCTGAAATGAAAGTAATTATATAAAATATTCATAACATCCTAATTTCAATCTTATGTTTATATAAAGGCAGAAGAGATAACTTTAACAATTGGTCAAGCATTTGACTTAGCTTACAGGAAATTTCTGGAATCTGGAGGAAAAGATGTTGAAACAAGGAAACAAATTGCAGGTTTACAGAAAAGGGTAAGTTCTGAACTGTATTTTCTACAGAGATAAAAGAACATGACACTGTATTTGTGTTTTCTGCTTTCTATGACAGCATAATTTCCAGTATTATTCTCATATTGCTAAGAATTGTAACAAGTATTAAAAAAGAAAACTGAAAAAAGACATGATAACCGTGAAACAGAATTTTGTGTTTTGCCATCTTGCAAGGCCATTAAAGAGAAAAGCAAGGTTGGAATGTAGAAGATAAATAAATTTAATTATTTTTTGTAATCAGATATTGTATCTAAATCACCAGATCTCAGGTAAAACTTACTCTCAATGGACACAGTTGTTGAAATGAATGACTATCCTGATAGCTGTTGCAATAACCACTTGCTTTGTAGATTCAAGACTTGGAAACTGAAAACACAGAACTGAAAAATAAAGTTCAAGATTTGGAAAACCAGTTAAGAATAACACAAGTGCATGCATCTCCAGTAAGTACATGAACGTAACTCTTATATCTGAATTTACTCTAATTTTTTAATCATTGTGTTATGATAATTATTAGCATCTGAGCTGTTTCCAGTGATTATGATTAACATACAGTGATCATGTAACACATCTGTTGAAATGCAGTATTGAAGTAACAGTAAGATTGTGACAAGCCAACAAAAGTGCAAATTACAGTCTTTCAAATCGTGGTTCTTAATCCCCTTGCCATACCTACTCGTTGCTGCCTGAAGACAATAAATACTCCTTCTACTAGAATTCTACGCAAGCTACCTAAGGGCGAAGAACTCTGGCACTTAAGCAATATGGTTCAAGCATGCTACTTTGGATTTTTCTGGGAACTTTGTCACAAGCATATTGTCACTTACAACTGATATTTTCTAAATGACTTTTTGAAATTTTTGTCTGTCTCAAAGGAGTCATTAGGTGTCAGGAACTAACACTGAGTGGGTAGGGAAAAAGGAGCAAGTGCGGGTTCCTCATCATTGGAAATTTCTGATGCTTTCTGCAGTTCCTGTAGTTATCACAACAAAAATATTTTTAATGACTGGCAGTTACTTATATCTTGGCAGGACCTGTGAAAATGCAGGTTGCATTACAGACTGACCTAATGACTCCCCTCTTACTCCCTTTACTTACAGAATATCTATAGAGCATTAGGGAACTGTGAAAATAAATAAAATTTCTTAACGTATACATAGCAAAATCATAGAAAAAGATGTGCTGCTTTTAAGCTGTGAATTTTGTGCTGCTTTGTTCCTGCTCTGGATGTGCACCATTTAAAGTGAAATGGATGTTTAGAAATTTCGACAACGTAAAAGTACATTCATAATGGTGATGACAATTCTTCAGTTGTGTCTATACACTCCCTTGATACTGATTTCATTTTAGTGAAATATGTTTAGCGGAGAGAGCACTATAAAAAATTATAAATACTGTGTAACCCCCACAGTGCAAATTGTAAATTGTGGATGTCTTCTCGCTTATGAAGCATTCAGTGAAAGGTAATCGACTTTAATGCTAGATGTAAAATCAATTTAGTCAATTCATTAATCTTTTATTTTCCTTCAGTAGGATGGCAGCTAGTTTGGTTTTATTTATGAATATAATAACTAAATGTACACTTGAATTCAGCTAAACAGGCTTTTAAGTATCTTGTGATAGATGCATTTCTCTTTCATTTAAATTAATGAAGAGCTTGGTAATTGCATTCAGGAAAAAAAATAAAAGTATCAACAATGACCAAAATACTTCCTGTGGCATCTGTAGTGCACATTTAGATTTACTTTGTCTTTTAAGACAGTGGTGTCTGATTCCTTAAATAATGAGTTAAGATGTAAATTTGTAAATTTGCCAGCCATTTGTATTCTCTCCCTAGATGGTGTATTATTGTTCATTACTATTGGTACAATGAATATGCATGTTGCTTAAATAGCACTTATGCTACAAGAAAATTATATCGTAATTATTGGTAATTATTAAAGTATTAATTCATTTTAATAAATGACTACCAGCTATTAGTTTTCACATATAACTTTATTTCTTTATTTACTCCTTAATCTTTAAAAAAAATACAGAAATATTTCCTGTCAGAAATTTCTACGATTTCTCATGACTGGAATTGCAGTTAAAGCCATCTAACAGCCTGTTTAATATCAAAATCAATTTTGCCACAAAATAGGCTCATATAAATTATTTGAATAAATATTGGAACAGGTTGCCCACAGAGGCTGGAGGTATCTGTACTCTTGGAGATATTAAAAACTTCCCTGGACCTGATCCTCAGCAGCTTCAGCTAATTGGATGCTGCTTCAAGCAGGAGTTTGGATTAAGCTACTTTCTACTTACGTGATTCCTCGATCAGTTGTGCAGCCAACAATAAAAAAGAAAGGTTTTTAGGAAAATGTCTTTCTCAAATCCAGCAATATAACTGTATCCACCAAATGCTATCAGCTTTTGTACCTTGCCAAGAGACATCATTCCAGGAGGCCTGTTTTAAACCAGGTTGTGTACATCGTAAATGAAAGCTCTTACTGTGCTAGCATAAGAGTAAGGACATACTAGTGCAACAATTAGGTTGAAAAATAAATGAAGGAATGGAATAGTGAGGTTATGAAGTCACTTTTCAGTGCAGGGAAGAGGAAGCATAAATAATTTTAAGATAGTTTGTTAAGTGCCTGGAATAGCAGTGGATATGATTTGATGATACGCAGCTGCTCCTCTTCTATTCGAGCAACAGATACGTGTGAAAGAAGGAAGGTACAAAGAATTGATAAGACAATTGATTGCCTGTTATAGTTTGCAATTAATTTTATACACTTTTAAGTCAAATCAACTATCATTTCAAGCATAACTTTGCAAAGTTTCAACTCCTCTTAGAAAAAAGCAGAAGCAGTACAAAGAATGTTTTCCTCCATTTCTACATAATTTCTGTGATGAAGAATAACTTTATTTTTTTAAAAGTGATTAGAGATCTGATTTTTTTCTGTACTTAAATTTAACACTTCAGTACCATGTTGTTAAAACTGTGTGCTACTGCTGCTCTATTTCTTCAAAATTAGCAAAGAAAAATAGCAGTTCTATCTTGTGATCATTTTGTCAGAGTAACATTTTCAAATCTGCTGATAGTATTTTGTTAAATACTTCAATAAAATAGTTCACGTAAATGAAGCAGAATATCCAGCATGGGAAATAATACCTCATCTGAGTCACTTCCTAAGCACTTTTAGTTAGATGGGGGAAAAAATTGCTTGCCTGCAGATATTCGTCATGTTACATGCTATGAATGTAATGTATTAATTCTCATTTTTTAAAGCAGATTTGTAAAACTATAAAGTTTAGGTTTTTTCATAGCTCTCATATCCATGTTACTGAATTATAAAGAGATGCCAGTGCCATACTAGAACTTTCTGAAGCTTTTTTAGACATAATAAGTAATTTGATTTATTTATATTTGATTCATTTGATACGACTACAACTCCTTATAGTTATCAGTCCGGTTTGCTGTTATTCTGTGTGCTGAGGTCTAGGGAGGGATTGTTTTAACGATCGATGGAAAGTTTAAGCCCTTATACTTGATACCCAATATGTTAAAAGTACGTGTGCCATTAATTGGCATCACAGTCGTTTTAAAGCAATGTTCAGTTTCACAAGCCACATACAGGTGGTTATGAAGTTGCTTCTGTTTATGCTTAAATAGTACCTTGGATTTTCTTACCTTATGTGTTCCTTGATGTATTTGGTCGTTTGCACACTGTTTGTACTTGAACGTTTGCCAGATGTGCTGAAAGGGCTTTCCTGTCTTACAGGTCGTTGACTGTGCTCTGCCTTTAGTGATGAATGCATGGTCACAGAAACGCTTGGTAATCAGCAATTGATTTAGCACTTCAGAAGTCAACACTAGCAACTAGATTAAGCAAGTTAAGCAACTTAAAGAAGCAGAAGATGTTGCAAGGGCCTGTGATGACAGTTCACAGAACATGACAGATATAAACATTGAAATTACATTGTGTGCTACATCCTCTTCTCATTCAATCCCCATCCTGGTGGAGGGGGCACCGCAAGCTATGTGGTCAAGTAATTCCAGGCTGACAGTGGGCATGTAGTTTCCTTCCCAGTGAGGGAGGACTGAGACCTTTAAGTTGTTACTGCACCTGTAGTGTGAAACAGTGCTGTTACAGGCACCAAGTGATGTCACTGTCATGCTTTATTTGTTAAAATACTGATCTAGGATGGAATGACTTTCCCACTTGTCAGTAACTGAGAAACCATAGTAGCATTTGTATGCAGTGCCAGACTTACTATTTCTTTACTCTTGCTTCTTCCTTCTGAAGTTGATCAATTTTGGTGTCTTTAATTATTCTGGACACCTTAGTCTTGGCATTAGTTTTTAATTAAATGTAGTAGGTAGAAAATTCCTTCAGAAATTTGAAGTTCAATTCTTCTTGTATTATTTCACTGACCTTGACACTGTTGTTTTTCTTTTGTTTTTTTAAAAAAGCCATTTCTGCTGTTCCCAAGAGTGAAGCTAAATCTCAGAGCTTCTGAGTCCCAGATCATTTTCCAATGAACAGGACCAGATTGCATTGCCTGTTCTCACTTCAGTATCAAAAAGACGATAGAATCTGAGAGCATCTTTAAACTGTGGATGGACAGAGGATTAAGTGCTTGGTTCATTTCACATTTAAATGCCATTAGTCTTGGCATGCTTCAGTTCTAAGCAGTTATATCCAGACTGTCATTTAAAATAAACTTTTCTAACTTCCTGTTGTTACCTAAAATAGGCTTGTTAACTAAATATGAAGACATAAATAAAGCCATTTACTGAAATTCATACTCAAGATCAAATGTAATACAATCAAGACTTACAATTCAGATCCTCTTTTACTTCCAAAATGTTTTAAAAATATTTTGTCTATAGTTGATCAAAGATGGTTCTTCATATACGTGATGCTCAAGAACAATACAGATGTACCAGGCTGGACTGCAATATGTGACCTTACTGACAGATTTACTTCTCTAAAAGGAGTCGGTCATGTATTCACATATTGCGCTCTTGGGTAATAACGTAGAACACTTTATTTGCAAAACATAGTGCTAAAACATCTTAATTTGCTGTTCTCTGACATCAAAATGTGTCCAAAGAATATTACACATGGTGACTTACCCAGATTCCATCAGTGGTCTGACGGAATTTGATCTAACTAAGAAAAGAAGATGGAGGCAGTGAATTCTAAGCTGAAACTTCATTTTAAGCAGGAAATTAAAAATGTCAGATCACCGATAACTTCACATGTGAGAGAATATTTTTCTACCTGAAACATTCATTACTAATTGTTTTAATTACAATCTTTTTTTTTTCAATAATTATAAAATAATTGAAGTATTAGGGTGAGGCCTCTATTGCTCTACATAAAAATCTACTCACCTATGAAAATTGAAAAAAATAATACGTTACTTTTCTCTCTCTCCAGTTCATAAGAAG